AATTTCTAGTAATTTATACCACTACATTTGTCGTTGGCTCGCAAACAAGTGTAAGGCCTGCCTGCTCGATAAGCTAGAAGAAGTATCCAGTCTTCTCACTTGGATAAAGACTGTCATGGAAGTGCTTTCTGGTGGTCAATTGTTCTCAAAATCAAGCTCAAGAGCTTCCAGAAAACATTGAGTTTCGTCACGACATTCACCACACCAAAGAACGAGAGCACTCAATTCATAATGGGTCCATTGCTTTCTTACCGATTGAGAAGAACGAAAATTGGAGCTTACTTAGGTACCGTACACGACTAATATTCCGTTTGTTAGAGATAGACGCGAAGCCGTATTTGAGGTTGACGAAATTCAAATAAGCTCGAAGGGGGTTATATTTGTGGAAGCAGAGGGGTTCGTGGTTGTGGGAGAGGGGTTTCGTTTGGAGTGACCTCGCAAAGCTGGTGATGGTGATGAGGGATGTGAAAATCCGAAGTTGCTCTGGCACCACGGTTTACCCAGGTACCGTAAAAACATAGAAGACGCAAAACAAGTGGCGGCAACAGCACCAATCTAATAGTTAGTGCCGTGGTACCTATGCTAAATGTGGATTTGTATGTATGAATGTGTCGTGCAAATTTTCATAGAAAAATTCGTTTATCTTAAAATAATGTAAAATTTCCACGGAAGGATCTCATTTCTCCTGCGATCTAATATTTAGAATTGATTCCGTTTCCTTGAATCTCAATTGCATCCGTTTCGTTTTTCTTCAGGTAAAAATAGCGTTGATTGATTCGGGTGCCGATGATTGGCGCGTCGCCGTAAGCATGGACCGGGTGGTCAAGCTGTCTGTCGAGTTGGCGGTCTGTGTCATTTGCCCATTTCCAGGTCAGTCATTCTATTTTTCACTAAGCAATAGTTTTATGCAAGATATGCGTAGGTTCAAGGACCAAAAGTATATATTCATCTAAGAAAATTATTTGGAAAACGCTGCTCTTGTGAGTTGTGGTGCAAAATTTTTTTCAGTTCAGATATATATACAGTACCGTGCAGTGAAGTATTCGTTTTCACTTTTTTAAACGTAACTCCCTCAAAACTCAAGCTTTTGTTCCGATTTTTTGTAGGTGAGAACACATCACTCTACCTGATAAGGAAGCAAATCTTCAGTTGTCTAGGTGGCTTCTATACTAATTTAGAAATTTTTAATTTTTTTCGGTCCAATACCATATTACTTGTTCGAAATTCAATCTATCTAAAATTCAAAAATAATAACAAAATGACTTATATAATAACAGACGTAACAACTACAACATCAGCACTTTGTCGCAGAACCGTTTTCATCTACGACGGCTTGACACCGGCGAAGCACGGAATTGGGTTTTTTCTTGGTAGAGGTTCCCCTA